TCTTCAGCCCCCTAAAATATTTTTTTTAAAAAAACATTTCACTCCCAAATGATGCACTATAGACTACTTGACTTATATTTTTATATACACAGAGACACACACACAGAGCTATGTGACCTAAATGGCAGAAAAACATATAGAAAATTAAAGACACTATGATAATTTATATATATTAGTCTATCATCTGTCTACCACTCATCTATCAATGATCTACTATTTATCTATCCATCCATCCATGTTACAATTTAAGTAGGATATGATGAGAGCCTTTTGGCAGATAGAACATCTGTCACAGGCCTAGGTGAGCAGAGTGTGTCAAATGCCTGAAGTGGCACTGGGCCACTTACTGTAGTATGAACAGTCCTGTTACCACTCCGTGATTCCCTTCTTTCTTCCCTCACTCCCCACTGATTAGCTTTGTGCTATCTCCCCTGCCCTTGTAGCTTTTGCCCTGGCTTCTGTGGGAAGTTAATTTTCAGACTTCTCTAAGCCCCACTGCATGCTAGGTGTGGAATAGGGTGGACATAAAACAGGACCATATTACTGTTTCTGTGCCTACAGGTGACACTTAGACTCTGTAACCACTGTACTGATTGATCAGAGCAGACACTGGCCCCATGCTATGGTTGGTGGGTGTCAGTGATCTGGTTGCTGGATTATGAAAATTATGAAGGTTAGTGAAGTGATGGGTCTCGTAATGGCCTCGGAGCCAAGGTTATTTACCACATGGGTAAGGAAATATTTAAATATTTCAGTCACAGTCTTGCTATACGGCTCAGGCTCTGTCATTATTTCTGTTCTCAGATACCTCTCCCCACATTTAAAGACAGGGACTTGCACAGGGATTGCTCCCTGGCCACTGCCAGCACCCTGATCTAGCTCCATGCCCCACCCTTGAAGTTCTCTGGGCTGCTGTCTCACAGCTCACTGAGTAACTTAGTTAGCTAGGGAGGAGGCTCCGAGTCCCCCATGAAGCTGGCAGTTTTCCAGGTGAGTAAAGGTCATAAAGACCCCCTTCTGGTTGGGTACTGGGTGCACTGACTTCTAGAAGGGCTAGCCCTTTCAGGTCAGGGGGACTAGCCAGGGGGACTGGCCTCAGACTTGTGGGGTACGCCCGTGGAATATCCACAGCCTCTCTACTCTGTCTCTATAAATGTGGGTTTGGATATTCAGGTGAATATCGTGGAGGAAGCAGGTAAAGATCTTAGCCTCAGCGGAGGCATTGTTTACTTATTTGATTTGAGAATATTGTGCTTAGGGTCCTGGACTTAAGGCCTAACATGGTTCCAAAGAAAGAGCTGCTTCTCTCATATATATGTATAAGTTGTCCTCACCCACCCCATGCCAGGCACAAGTGTCCCTGCCAGTTTAGAGTGGCAGCTGAAAGAAGCAAGATCTAACTCTTGGCATGGCCTGTAAACTAAGGAGTGACCAAGGCTTATGGAAGTGATTTCTGATAACTTCTATAGCGCAAGTTATGTGCTCACAAAAGAGCAGGGTTGCCGGGACAAGTATCACAGACCCGGATCAGAGCCCCTCTGCCCCGTCCTACCCATGCTCTCCAGCTCCTGTCCTTTCTCCTTGCTATTCTCATGAGTGGCCAGTTCGCAGGGAAAGGGGGAGGGGGCTGAGTTTGCCCCCAGGAGGGAGCTGGAGGGGCAACAGGGGTGCTGCCCTGCCCATAGCTCCCAGCTCCTGGCTTTGTGTGGGCAGGGCATGGCCGCCTGTTTAACGCCACTGTTTTTATAAGCTAATGAGGGCAATGTGTGAGCCATGGGCGATGATGCTGGGATATTAACTGTGACAGGAAGCTTGATCATAATTATCTTAACGAGGATAGGGTTAATTACAGTGGAAACTTCAAAGTTCTCTCTGTTTGAATCCACTGGAGCTGAATGCGTTTGTGATGTTTTGTCATTTTAATGTGACTTTGGAAAAGGCGCCTGGACTCTTCCTGAGGCCGCTGCCAGCTCCTGAGAGAGCCCAGCAAACAAGGTGACCTGGATGGTGCTGAGGGGTGAGACTGGGGCCGCTGTTCCAGCGATACAGCAGGGGGCAGGCAGCCTGCAATGCACTCCAGAGGTGCTGATGAGGTAGGTAGGGCAAACTACCTGCCTTAGAGGGGTCCACCTGGATACTGTCTACACAATAAATTAGCACACAGAAACCACAATGACATTGTGTTCATCCTTGTAAGCTACCATCGCTGTCCCAGGAATTGGCAGTGACCTGCCTGGGTCTTTATACCCTATTTTGATATTATCATTTTATATAACAGTGAATGTTTACGTGCAGGCATCTTGTACATATGGAAATGAACTCAAAGATTGTTGCAAAGAATTCCTTCTTCCTGTTCGTTCTTGGAACAACGACAACAACAACAATAACTTGGAAAAAATTAAAATATAAAGCCACCTTCTTGATATGTGTTTATTGGCTTCCAGTGTCCTAGCAGAACTCCACAAATCCCTTTCCCGGTGTTTCTCCTTCACAGTGTTGGTCTGCTTCCTGTCTCCAGTCCCTCATTTCTGAACTTAGTAGATCAAATCCTCACATGCACCAAGGACATGGAAACAGGGGTGTATTCATTAGCAGCCTTTCTTGTAGCACAGCCCCCCTCTTTTACGGAGTGCTAGTAACATTACATGGCCTAAAAGAATCTCAAAACCAGACAAGTGGCAAGGGATTTGAGGAGACTCCTCTGAGGTCTCATTCCCACATGGAATTCTGCCCCAGAGCCTGTCAGGGAGAGAGAAGTGGCCTTGATGGGGGGTAGGTGCCCTTGTAGTGCACTGGCTTTGTCCTGCTCCAAGCTATGTCATTTTGTTTTATGCTTTCCCAGAAGCACTCTGGGAAGGAAGCTTTCTTCTGCTTGCCAGTTGCCAACGCTTTGCTGATTCTCATGATAAAAGTGTAATATTTGCATAACATAACTAGGGAACAATGTGTATCTGGATGCTGCCTTTGACCAGCGCCCAGCTGATGGTTGTGCACAAAGAACTTATTAGCAATCCATAAGGCTTCTTGATAGGGGGTGGCTCCCCTCCCCCTGTGGCAAGCAAGGGTCTGGTCCTGAAGCACTTGTGGTTAATGAGCTCGGTTCACTGACCCCCGTGGTGAAAGGGACTCCAGGGGCTGGGATTCTAGAGTTGAGAGAGAGCTTACCTAGAATTCAGGGACCCCTGAAAAAAACCGCTAGAATTCAGGGACCCCATAAAAAACAAACAAACAAACAAAAATAAAAAAACTAGGCGTGATGGCACATGCCTGCAATTCCAGTCCTGGGGAGGTAAAGGGAGGAGGATCAGAAGTTCAGGAATTCAGATGGCTTCTCAGTATGCCTTAGTTCACACTATAAGGAAATGGAGTGGATCAAGCAAAGCCCTGTACCCCAGCACCAGATGTGGAGAAGTTGTATTTTGTCTCCCAGAAGCAGAACTGAACTAAAAATATGTGCAGTTTCCTTTTCCTATGTTGGTCCAGGTAGCAGGTAGCACTGGCTTGGGTGTCCTGGCTGTTGGAGCCAGGGTGAGATCAATTAAAGACACAGGGCATGTAGGTGGGTGAGCTCTGGGCACAGTGGAACCTGCAGCTTTAATAATATACCCTCCATTTTGGAGGGCCCCTGGCAGAAGGCCCACTAGGAGGGAGCTGAGGGCACCCTGGGAGACCTCTGATGCTGAAGTTCACTGTGCAGGGTGTAGACACATTACACATGCAAGCATTCAGAGCTGTAACCCAGGTACTATCAGCAGGCCAACGTCTTCCTGATTGGGCACACTTTGTAGGGTAGCTAGGGATGGCACACAAGTCCTCCCCTCTGTGGATGTTGTGGCTCAGCTGTCAGCCTGTGCAAGCTCAGCACATCTCCTGGGCCAGGCAGGTGAACAAGCTGGGAGTGTATGTCCACAGTCCCTGGGACCTGCAGCTTGATTTAATTAACATCTGTGTGTGCCAAGGCAAGCGCTTGGACACAACTGTCTCCTGTCCCCTGGATCCCAAACACTCAGAAGAGTCCTTTGAACGGACAGTCCATTTCTGGCCACATGGGGAGGAGACAAGGCAACTTTTCGTTTCTGTTACAGTATTTTTTCCCTTGAACCTGATACCTAATGCTTAATGATTTTTTAAATTTACTGCTTCAACATCTACATTGCTATACTCCATGCTTAAAAAAAAAAATTCCACATCCCATAAATTAAAACAGTTAACTTCAGGCAAGAAGCTTTGAAACAGACATTCTCCTAACCACACAAAACCCAAAACCAAAATGAAAGAAGAAGAAAAAAGATCTCTCTCAGTCTGGAGTGATTATGTAATTGTGCAGATGCCCTGTCGGTTGGCCACAGGGACGCTGGGCAGGAGCAAATGAAGTGATTAGTAAAAAAAAAAAAAAAAAAAGAAAAAAAAATAGAGAGAGGGTTAAAAAAATCGTCCAAAGATGTGAGGAGAGAGAAAGCCTTCCAAAGCCTTCCTGGCTGTTTCCCCCATGACTGTACAGAGCACAGGACTAAGAAATGATACTTGAAGTTATATTTATTATTGTGAGAGGGGTATGAGATTTCTAGGCAGGAATGATGGATGACAGCTTAAATTTGTGTCCAGGGAATGAAGGTGAACTGTGACAGAGTTATTTATCTTGGGAATGGAGGTTAGGGTCAGCCCAGGCTGGGTGCCTGAAGGCACAAGACATTGACAAATTTATCCTGCAGGCCGTATCTGAAGCCCTTTGTTTTGGATCCTGGCTACTCAGTAAGTGACCCTCATTCTTCATGTTGGCAATGCGTGAAGGATGCGGTGAGTGCCAGCGGGGGCCCCCTTCTCCCCCTCGGCCCCCACCCCGGCTCCCCGCTACTAATTCTTGTCATTCACTCTGCTGACAGGCACCAAGCCCAAACTATTCCCAGTCATGAAAGGGAAGGTTAAAATATTTATTTCGGCTCATAATGGCCTCCCTGATTTACTGCGGATCATTTTTCCCTTTGCCTTTGTCACTTCAGGTCACTGGAAGGACTGAGCGCATTCAGGAGCCTGGAGGAACTCATCCTGGACAACAATCTACTGGGCGACGACCTCGTGTTGCCAGGGTTACCCCAGCTGCACACCTTAACCCTCAACAAGAACCGAATATCCTTTCTTGCACACCCACCCTGCCGGCCCTGCCCCCAGCCCCCCACTCGCAGCCCAGCCCCACAGTGGTCCCCCTCCTGCCACCCCCGTCCCCTCCCCACAAAAATACCTGCAAAATGTCAAATGAGTTTTATGTGTCAGCTAAATTAAAGTACGTGAAATACAGTCCGTGGGCAGACAAAGCGTTCTGTCTTCTGGCACTCGGGACACTTCAGAGTAATTTATTATAGGTCATTCATAAATGAAATGCACCATTATATCTTCCTGTTGCTCCATTTTAGTGTAGAGATCTAAGTTATGGCTGCGAAGAAATCTTTTTAATAGATAAAAATAGAGAAAGAAAATAATGTCACGGGTTGGGGGGGTGGTGTCGGGGAGGCAAAGCTGATTCCCTATGCCTGGGCTTCTGTGGGAGGGCGACCTCTGGTGGCAAGTCCTGGGCAGTGCTGCTAAGCACACAAGTCTCAGGTTCCTTGGAAGGCTCTGGTGCAAGCTAGGGAAACGGATGTTTCTGGAAGGCTTTGGTGCAGAGAGAGGGGTGAAAAGGCCAGGCCTGGCTCTGCCTTCCATGTGGATACTGCTGTGTGAGCAGGAGTAGTCTAGGAGTACATTTCCACCTCGTTTGAGTAGGTGTGTGTCAGCTCAACATGGGATGAGTTTAAAGGACTAACTGCTCTGGATTCTATTGTGAGACGAAGTCAGGACTTCTCATATAGCCACCACTGATAGGGCTGCAGGGTACCAGGTGCTAGGGCATCAGCTCCACCAGGCAGGGCGTACTCTGTCCCATACTGCCTGGCAGAGTTCATGTTCCACACATATTTAGGGGATGAACAAGTTTTCATTCTCAATAACTTGTCATCATTGGATGCTCCTGGGCATCAGGCACTGTGCTGGGTCCTTTAAGCACGGGACTGTTTGTTCTTACCAAGTCCAGAGACATGTGTGTAGTTTTTCTATTTATCGGGACTTTGAAAGAAGAGGTGAGGTATAAACCCCAGCCCAGACAAACATGAAGATGAAGCTCTAAGATTCGATCTCAGTTGTGACTGTATCCAAAGTTCCTTCCATTCTGCCACATAGCTTTGACCTATGAAGCACGATTGCCTTGTTTTATTGATGGAATGTTTGAGACCTGAAGGAGTTAAATTACTTGTTCACACTCGTGCAGTAAGTTAGAAATAAAAACAGGACCATGATCACCCTTGCTGGTTATAAAGTAAAAATCAGATACCCAGGTTAAGTTTAAAATATGTGCTTATGTCAGCATTTAAGATGATAAGCAAAAATACTTGTTAGCCCCTACTTAGGTTTCAAGCCATTGGCTAATTTTGTCTTTATCCTGTAGCATATTACCTCAGTCACCTCTTGCTGCTTTGACAGAATACTGTAGACTTGGAAACCACAAACAGATATTTGTCACTTATAGTCTGGAAGATGGAGGTCTGACAGCAGGGTCCAGTGAGGGTTTTTGGTGATGACTCCTTTTGGTGAACTTGCATGGGGCATGGAGAAGGAGTGGTGAGGTGGAGGAGATACAGCTCTCTTGTGTCTTATCAGTACGGTAATCCATCCCATTGTGTGGACTCTCTCTTTAGGACTTAATGACTTACCAAAGAATTAGAGCTTAAACACCTGAATTTTGAGAGAGGGGTATAAACATTTAGTTCTTAGCAAACCTGTTCCTTGCAGCTATTGTTAGTGGATAGTTTAATAGAAGTAGAGGAAGAAGGCCTGTAAGGAAATTCACAGTCTGATTCTCTCTGATTTTCTAATGAAGCTGGGTAGTTTTCCTTCTTGTATCCTTTGGTCATCTGAGCATCCTAGTCATTGTCGGAAAGTGTGCTGTACCCTGTTTGTACTATGTCTTCTGCTGTCTTTGGTGCTCAGGTGGACAATGTTCTCGAATCAAAAACAGAAGGATTCTTAGACTCAAGGTTAGATGATACAGTTCCTCCTTTGGGCCTCTGTGCTCATGTCTCATGTCCTGTGTCTCCACAGCATACTGCAATTCATGGGCATAGGTTCATGGCTCAGCTTAGTCATATGTAGTTCTGTGTGCATGTACAGGTCATCTTCTGGAAGCCTGTTCCTCATTTTTAAAGAAATAAGTTGGGGGTCTGGGAGATGGCTCAGTGGTTAAGAGCACTGGCTGCTCTTGCAGAGGACCTGTGTTCCATTCCTAGCACCCACATGCCAGCTAATATCTATCTGTAACTCCAGTTCAAGGGAAATTCAACCCTCTTCTGACCTCTGCAGACATTGCACAACACGGGTGTACTTGCACACATATAGGTAATATATGCATATGCATAAAATAAAAATAATGAATTAAATATAAAAAAAAGAAATAAGTTGGGTCAAGTGGTAGCTTTAGTCTCAGTACTGCTATAGTAGAGATTGGTAGGCCTCTGGGACCCAGGATATTGAGAGAATATCTTTGTCTTCAGTTGAGTTCTTTTGCTGTTCTATTCCTTCTATTCTATTCTATTCTATTCCTTGGGCTGTAGTGGTAATGCTGAGCAAGAAAGGAGACTAGCCTGGAAAGGTGTTATGTTGCTGAAAACCCGAGAATATCACTATGCTGTTACAGTGCATTTTATTATCACAGACATAGACCCACTCAGGTTGCCAGGGGATGTCTTTCCTCTTTTCTTCCCTGGTATCACCATGAGTATCAGCTTCCCATCCACGGTCTAAAAGTTGAGTAAAAGCAGACAGCATTGCATGTCATCCTCTCTGCCTAACATACTTGATGCTGCCTCTGTAGGCTATAGACTCTCTACTTGTGAAGATGCCCCAGGATCTTGCACAGTTAGTACGATAGGCATTACTGATGCCATCCCATGAAACGCCCCAGACACAGGCTCTGTCAGTTATCTTGTATAACTTTAGTTCTGTGAATCAATTAATTTTGGCTAGGGCTCCACTGGATGGTTCTTCTGCTGGTCCTAACTTTATGTCATTCAAGCAGCCATTTTTCTTGACTAGTGCTACATGGTCTAAAACAATCTCAGTCTTACATGTGGAGGTTAGTGCTGGTTGTTGACTGAACTGCATGCCTCTAATGGGCTATATAAGTCATATCCCATGGAAGGATTATTCTAGGTGCACAAGTCCTGGTATACAAGTACTTTTTACATCTTACTTGTATAATGAAAGCAAGTCGCTTACCAAATGTAGTACAAATGTGTGCAGGGACAGCACAGATGTAGCTAGCTATCACATAGGCCTTGACATTTTGTCTATTTGAGATTTTATTTCACTTTCCTAGTAAACGGAGCCCTAGAGTTAAATGTTGACCTCCTAAAAGGGTAGACCCTAGGTCTTTTACATAAATTGAGTATTTTAGCATCTTAGGAAGCATGCTTTTATTATTTAAATCTGGACCATATCCTACAGGCTCATGTGTTTAAGCAGAGGCCCCATCTCAAGGCTCTGTTTTGGGAGGTTGTTATACTTTGGGGAGATGGAAACTAGCTGGTAGTTGTAAGCCGTTAGGAGTGGGTCTTGAAGGTTGCTGCCAAGTCCTCCTCCTGATCCTATCTCTGCTTCCCATTTGCCACCGGGAGGTAAACAAACCACAGCAACCCCACCTTGCCCATGGCCATGAGCCAGTGCTGTGCCATTTCCATCCTGATCGGCTAAGCCCGTGAGCCCAAATCAATCATTCCTCCCTGGATTGGCGGTGAGGAAGGTATTACCATATTTGCTATCCCCAAGATGAATTTTTTGTTTTTAATCAAATTCTTTTGTGAAGCTTATTTTTACCTGGAATGTTTTTCTTTTGGTATCCCGTTGATGGTCATTTACTTTTCTTCATTCATCTGCCACACAAGTCTAGATTCTTCCATTTTGGTTTTACTCATACTTAAACATGTTTACAGCAAGGTTCTATGTTCCCAGACTCTGGGAACTTGTATTGTTTGATTTCTTTTGTCCTTTCGCAGGAAGAGCTATGACATAATGGTCAAGAATAACGGGCTCCGAGACCAGACTTCCTGGGCTTATAACCCAAGCAATACTTACTGCATGACCTTGAACACGCTAGTATGGCTTAGCTTCCTTAGAAAAATGGGGGCAATGTTGTACCTACCTCATAGATGATTTCTGAGGGACATTCTAAGCATCTTGCCAGTATGATGGCCCAGTAGCAGTGCTATGCAAGGATTAATGTTTGTTATTGTCAGTCTACAGAAAATGAGACCCATTCTTGTCGAGTAAGGCCATTATAACCTAGGGCAGAATAAATTTCTTTCAGAGTTTATGCACTTTTATAGTTTAATACTACTCTAATTTAATTCCATGAAGAACCATAGGGGAATAATTCTCCTTTTTCTGGAAAATCTGGAGACTGCAAGCTTTTAGAAGCCACATAGTTTGCCAGTGGTAGGACTTTACCTAGAACCCAGGAAGGTTGATTCCCAGCCCCAGTCTCTGAAACTCAAAAGACAAACAACCACCCTGTAAGAAAAAGGACTTCTTTGATAAGGGTGGCGTCGGGTGCCTGTGCTGGCAACAACAAGGCCCTCTTCCCAGCTGGGGGCTGCAGGAGTTCCATTCACTGAAGAGATTCCAGAGTCTACGCTCACTAGCATCAGGCAACTTTCTTCTCAGTTCAGCAGTTAATGCCTCCACGCATATATGTGTACTTCTGCCTTGGCCTCCTACCTTTGTTCCCCTGGGGTTCAGCCCCAAGCTCTGGAGACCTGCCCTGGAACGTCTGGGAGCCTGGTTTCTCCGGTCACCTCTTCCTCTCCTCCTCATCTCTTTATGTGTAGCTCTGTCTCCCTTTTCCCTTTGATTCATTTAGATTGGCCTAAGTCATCACAGGCCGTCTACTTGAACCACTGTACCTGCACGCTCCAATATTCTCATCCACTGAGCATGCACACATTCTCCCTGGCTCTTCTACCTGTGCTGTTGAGACCTTTCTCAATGGTCTCAGTCACATGGTGTCTTGATACTCAACCCCAAGTAGGGGACAAACTGAAAAATTTGGAGGAGAGTAGATGCTTAACCTTGACACAATTAAATGATCCTCTCTCACCTTCCCTTTTGGGGCTAAACTAACTTTATTTGAGATAATACTTTATCTTCTGCCTCGCTGTATCAGCATATGTATGAAAGAGATGGTGAGTTTGAATAGTAGTGCCAACAGGAAGAAAGAATAGTGTTACATGTTACACAGCTGAGCTATATCCAGGAGACTGCTGCATTAATAAAGCTGGAACTCACATTAAAAAGTTCATATGAACATGTATATATGTGTGTGGGTATGTACATGTGAGTGTATGTGCTCACCAAAGCCAGGAAAAGGGCATCAAATCTACAGGCAATGGAGAGCTGCCTGATAGATGCTGGGAACTGAACTTGGAACTTTTGCAAGAGCAGTGCACAGTCTTAACTTAAGTGGCATCTTTAGATTGTTCTTTAACAGCAAGAAAGAATATGGGCAGGTCTGTGTCAGGGTCTGAGAAACTTAAGCCCTGGACCTCAGTTTTAACAATAATTTATTGTCATATTGCATAAGCATCTGTTCTTTTTAGGGTCATTGGCTCCTTTATGAAATTGGTAATATAATACAGACTTCAGAATATTGTTGAGAAACGTTAGTAGGGTAATATAGGGGAAAGCACCCTGTTAATACCCAGACTTTTGTAACTTCCTGGTACATTTCACTAAAACATCTTAGTACATTTAGGTTAAACCTCAACACTTTGAAAGCATAAGCCTAAACTGAAATGGTCTGAAGTAGATAGCACAGCTGGATGATAATGTATGTTGTTCCTCTAAAACATATTAAACTCCTCATTTTTCAGTGTTTTAATTTCACTTTTTGTGTTAGGAAATCGAATCCTTTTTTCCCCTAGAAATGCAATTGCATTATGATCTAGATTTGAACATAGTCTCTGCCATTTACTGGCGGTGTGATTTTTAAACAAAGTTTTCTTAATTGTTACTTGAATGTGATAATATTTCTGGTATGTCTAAACATCCAAGTGTGCTCCTATATCTTCATAGTGTATCTTAATATCCAGAAGTCTGGTATTAGGATTAACCCTGGTCAAATTTCCTCAGTGGCTATAAAAAAATGCCCTTTGACTGGTAGATGAGCCCAAAGGTAAGGACATGGCTCCATTCCCCTGGGAAATCACTCTGGCTGTGTTCTGTGGACCATGCACATGAGGAGGCTCCTCCTCTTTCTTCTGCTCTAAACTTGCAAGGCAAGCCACTCCTTTGATCTTGGACTCTCCACACAGAACCACCCTTGGCAAGCTAGCCATAACAGCTGGCCTCCACAATGGAAATTTTCTATAGATGACCCTGAAAAAAAAATCTGAATGCCAACTCCTCTGGAGAAGACTTGATGAGAGAAACCAGGTGTGTACCAAGAGTCAAGCTGGGGAGAGTTGAAGCCATGCCAGGTAGTGTGAGATTGTACTAAAGGAAGCAGAGGGGCCTTTCAGAGCATCCCTCGTGCTTCTCCACTGCCATGGTCTTGATTAGTCAGAGATACTGAGTTTCTTCCAAAATGATTGTCTTGGCTTAATTTTTTCCATACGACTTGACAAAAAGGAGTGTGATAAGTTCCATCTCTGCTCACAATCAAGCAGGACAGGGCTGTGGTTGTTTCTGCTGACCTCTGGAGATGAGCAGCCAATTAAAACTCCTTCTCCTGTTTCATGCTCTGGTGGTGGAATCCACAGAGATGAAGGACTGATCCAGAGCCTGCCGTAGGACATGCTGGGCCTTCCTGTTCAGTGTGGATTTGGGGGAGGCTGCTTGGCTCAGTCTGATTTGTTCTTTAGTAGGTTGTAGGACGGGCTCAGAACAATAGAACTTCTACTATACAAAATACTCTGCATGAAGCAGACTCCTAGATATGACTTGGAGTCCCCCAGGCTTGTTGGAGGCCATAGACCCTTCACCCTAAGTTCCCATGACTAGGACATTTAAGTGATCTCCTTCTCCTGGGCCTCCTGTCAAGAGCAGGCCCAGGTTTTACAGAGTATGAAGCTTAGATAACTTGAAGGAATCCTTTTAAAGACAAAGTTTGCATAATCAGAGGTACAAAATCCAGTGTGACGACTGTGTTTGTGAACTAGGGGTATGGCTCAGTGGCAGCATGCGGACATGGGCAAGGCCCTGGGTGTATCCCTCAAACTCTAGCAATAAGAAAAAAGAGGGTGAATATGGGAACGTGAAGAAGAATATTCATTTGGAATAAAAAAATATACCAAAGCAAAACTTAGAAACCTAAGTCAACAAGTATCATAAATGTTAAAGTCCCCAGAAAGGATGTATCTGTCTTCCACTAGATATGCCTATTTCAAACCTTTATTCCTTCAGATCCTCACAGCCTCATTGGATAATAACATTTGTGATATTTTCTACAGAAAGCATAGAATGACAGTTCCATCTTTTAGCATGATTGACTGAAAATTGATTTTTATTTTTAGTACTTTAGAATAAGGATGTTTTGTGATCATTGTGGTTTAGATGGGTGTCTCATAAAGTCCTTTATTGAAGACTTGGTTTCTAGGGTGGTGCTTCTGGGAGGTGGTAGAACGTCTGACACTGTGAACTAAAATAAATCCTTTCTTCTTTTAAGTTGCTCTGTCAGGTATTTTGTCATAGTTGTGGAAAACTAACTGGCAGAGCCTGGCCTGTTAATTATGACATTCACTTCTTGCTAAGCCTTTTGTTTCTTGTACTAAGATCCTTGACCTTTGGTACATCACTGATTTGGAGTATCTGCTCGATCACCTGGCAAAAGTGACACCTGCTCTGGAGTACCTCAGCCTGCTGGGAAATGCAGCGTGTCCCAATGAGCTGGTCAGCTCAGACAAGGATGAGGAAGACTACAAGAGATATAGGTGAGTGTTCACAAAGGAAAGGAAAAGCAGACTCCTTGGGAGATGAGACACTGTGGGGTACAGAGCACATGTTTGGTGAGTGTCCACTGACTTTCTATGACTATGTTCAACAGCTCCTTTTTGGAAGCATAAAGCCATTGTCTTCCTTTGTTGAGTTCATAGAAACCAAGAAAGAATATGGACAGGTCTGGGGCAAGGCCTGAGAAACTTGTTTTGTCATAGGCCAAATGATAAATACTTTCAGTCTGTGACAACTATGGAATCCTGCTGTTTTAGTGTAGAAACAACCACAAATAATTTATAAATGACTGTCCCTGGCTCTCTTCTGATATGGGGCTAGAGAGATGGCTCAGTGATTAAGAACACTGGTTGTTCTTGCAGAAGACCTGGACCCACATGGCAACTAACAACTGTCTGTAAATCCAGTTCCAGGGGATCCGACGGCATCTTCTTTCCTCCATGGGCATTGCACGACAGGGATGCACTTACCTACATGCAGCCAATACATGCATACACATTAAAAAAAAAAAGACTATAAAATTGGAGAAGGCTTGATCTGAAGTATGTGGTGTTTTGCAGAACCTTGCTTCTTAGGGTAAGATCTTTCTGTGGTGTTCCCCATGACCACTGCTTGGAGAGAAACCTCTTCCCTTCAGAGTGTGGGGAGTTCATGTCCACTGCCATGTAGCTTCACTGATGTGTCTTCCAGCCCTGTGTGCTTGAATTGTTTCTGCATAACAGTGCTTTCCTTTCTTCTCTCTACTTACAAGTCATCTCTGAACTTTCTGGGAGTCTTCTTAATCTTGCCTATTTTGTTCAATTCATTTCATCTTCTTTTTAAAAATGATACGTATCCGTATTCCTGATTTGTTTTGATGATCTTTTATTTTTGGTCTCTGTTATAAAAGAAAGTTTTCTTTTATACCCCACCCAAATCAACAGAGGAGGGACGAAGTGAGTACTAGGCAGGTAGAGCTCTTGGGGCGTAGCTTGGAAAGGTTGAAGAAAGAGGATAATGGTTGGAGAGGAACTTGTTCTATGGAGACTCATTTAGAACTCTGTGGTGACCCACAAAAGAATGTAGTGCGAACCATCATTGTTTATCAGGGCGAGGCTATAAGAAATACTGAAAGCTATTATAGATTTGTAAGGAAAAAAAAGCACAACACAGACATAAATACGCTGCAGCAGGAATTCAGTTATTTTTCTGTAAAGGAGAATTTTGTAACTCTAACTTCATTTCTTAGGTTTCGTGATTAATTTTGTGGGGATCTTAGGGTATTTTGAAATGGACTCAGGACAAAGTAGAAAGCTATTTGAAAAGAAATATTTATGAAGTCTTTCTCTCTGATGAAGATTTTCAGTTAGGATGTGATGCTGTGGATCTGAATGTTAGTTCTTATCGGAGAGATATGGCTCCCGTCTAGCAAGGGAATGCTTATGATTTTCTAAATCCTCACTTAATTGCTCAGACATGGACTTCTGGAGTACTCCTTTCTGACTTCGGATCATCTAATTGCCTGCTATAAGGTATAAAGGGTTCACTTTAAGCATTTCCTTGCATTAAATATTTTTTAGACTTACATTTTTCTTTTTCATCATCAATGCATATTAATTATACATAGTAATGAGCTTCATTGTGATATTTACATAGATGCATATATTGCACCTTGTTAGTATCTAAGTCTCATAACTTCCTTTGCACCCTCCCATCTTCCTGTTCTCTCTGGTTCACTTCCCTGTCTGCAACTATAGAAGAGTGTCTTCTTTTTGTTTTAGTTTTAGTTTCTACGTATAAAAGGAACATTTGACACTTGTCTGACTTATTTTGCTGTACATGATGACTTTTAGTTCTATCCATTTTCCTCCAGAAAACATGATTGTTCTTCTTTATGGCTAACTAATACGCCATTGTATATAAACGTGTGTGTGTGTGTGTATGTATGTTTATTCTGTATCTTGGCTATTGCAATAACTTACTTTAAGATGTATCTTGGAAATTCAAGTCCAAAAAAGTTTGTCCAAGAAAACTTTTTTAAATATTGTTTGAAAAATTCTCATTTATTTTCTGACTTTTTTCTTTATATTTGTTTCATTCATAAAACAACAATAACTTTAATGTATACATGAATGTTCATGTGTATTGTTGATATTTCTATGTGTATATACATATTCACACATGTCCATGAATTTATTCTTGGGGCCTAACATCATATGTGAATACAAGTATAGATCCTTTTTTTTTTTTTTTTTTTGGTCTTTTTGAGACAGGGTCTCCCTGTAGCCCCAGCTATGTAGATCAGGCTGGCCTTGAACTCACAGAGCTCTGCCTCTCTCTGCCTCTGGAATGCTGGGATTAAAGGCATGCACCACCATGCCCGGCTGATGCATTTTTACTTTTATTTTCCTCTTTTTCCCCCTAGAATGAGAAAGACAGAGTGGGAGGAATTTCCTAATTCTACCCTATTCTGTTTGTTCTCAAATATGGGGCTTATAAAGTATAAAAGGACAAGACAAGCTAATATTTCATTGTAACTGCAACTGGTCACATTGGTTAAAAAAATATTAAAATTCACAGTATAAGCAGGCAGCTCAGAAGTTCTAGTTTGGAGTTCAGTTTCCACAGGGAGGCCTTTAAAGTGGGGAGGACTCTTTAAAACAGTGGTCCTTACTAGCCTCTGAGTCAACCAAGGCTTTCATTTGGTAGCAAATCCAACAAAGTATCCCTTGGCGAACACTAGTGTTCGGCGGGCTCTAGCATTCTGTCCCCAGGGAGTTTCGGCTCTTCTTTACGGTCTCCCCGTGTGCTGTACATACCATTGTACCTTTCCTTTCACGACTGTAGACATAGCAACATCTAGAGAACAGGCTGCAGTGGGTGAAGGATGAGTCCCTGTCTCTTGAAGCTTCATGCAAACCTAAAACAGTCCTTGGCATGGCAAAGTAGCTCAGTGACCATTTGCTGGAGGTGTTTGGAATTACGTTCCTTCTCAGAGCCGTGTGTTCATAGGTTGGTGTGGGGACCTTTGAGTGCCTTCAATATCCACAGTGCCCAACAGGTCCAGTTGGATGCCAACAAATGCAGTTAACAAGCATTGACCATCATTTAAACTCAATCTAAGTCCTGGTTGTGGGAGATGATTCTGGGCAGAGGGTTTCATTTTGTAAAAGTAATCCCTCTCAGGGGGCAGGAGAGATGGCTCAGCAGTTAAGAGCACTGACTGCTCTTGCAATGGACCTGGGTTCAATCCCCAGCATCCACATGGCAATTAGCAACCATCCATAAGTCCAGTTTCAGGGGATCTGATGCCCCCTTTTGACCTCAACAGGTATTGTATGATACAGGTGCACTTACATACATGCAGACAATACACTCATATGCATAAAAAGAAAATAAATACATAAAATATTAAAAAGTAATCCCTCGGGGCTGGAGAGATGGTTCAGTGGTTAAGAGCACTGACTGCTTTTGCAGA